GGACGTTCCACCAGTCATTCGAGCAGCTATTGTACAATACCTTGCGGGGTAATTTAATTTTTATAGTTGTTGAGATTGAAAGTTAATTAATATATAAGATGTTTAATTTTCAATTTTATGTTTAATGGGAAATCTCCCTCTCCCAATTTTTTGTTCCTTGCAATGGGGCTTGCAATTGAATTTGTGCCCCCAATTCGTTAGCGGCCTTGGTGGCATTAAGCCCCACAAATGTCCTCCTATCAATAGAAACTCCAACAAAAAGCTTCTTCCCACCATGTTGGCTAATGAGTCTACTACTGTTCTTACCCCTAGTTGGACCTCGTACTCGCTTTACAGATGGACCTATATTATAAACACAAAATGAAACACTATTACAGGATGCTGCTAAATAAACTTCTGTTGCTGTATATACAGAGCAGATTTTAAGAACTCTCTTTAAATAGCATATGTGAATGAAGATTACTATGTGTCATATAATGTACATAGGTTGCTGCTGCTGCTGCTATATAGGTTGTTGTAGATTTTAAGAACTCTCAAGTTTAAAGCATCATGAAATGTATATGCCTTTATTCAAGCTTGTTATTATGTCATGTTCATGATTATAAGATTACTATGTCTAAGATAAGATGACTGAACATAATTTGATGCATGCTTTTTGCCTCAAGGGATCAAAAATCCTGTCTCCATCCCTAAAACAAATCCATCTGGTTTCCATCGATATAGATTGTAGCTTCTTAACTTCTTTAACTAACTGCAGCAACCTCCAGGAACTGGACATTGGCCTTAACAGGTTCAAAGGTGAATTACCAACTTTGATTGCTAATTTTTCAACTACTCTTCAACAGCTGATTGCAGGAGCAAACCAGATATCAGGATCCATCCCTGAAGGAATAAAGAATTTAATTGGCCTGACATGGTTTGGTAATCTCCATGAACTCAATCACAGGAGAAATTCCAGTGGGTATTGGCAAACTCGAAAGATTGGAGGATCTTCGCCAGTTTGATAATAGAATTTCAGGGGAAATTCCAGCCGATCTTGGAAACACAACACAGTTGGGTCAATTGTATTTGCACACAAATAATTGAGGCTGAAACTTACAGAGAAAGGAGCTGCCAAGAGTTTTGTGGAAGAATGCAATGCTTTGAGAGGTATCCGACATCGGAACCTCATCAAGATAATCACTACTTGCTCGAGCATCGATTCCAAAGGCGATGATTTCAAGGCGATAGTTTTCGAGTCCATGCCCAATGGAAGCCTCGAGGGGTGGCTACACCAAAGTGAAGATGAGCAAGACCACCAAAGAAGTTTAAGTCTTACTCAGAGACTAAGAACAGCGATGGAGGTAGCATCTGCACTACAGCATCTTCACCATCACTGCCAAGCAGCACTTATTCATGGTGATCTGATGCCGAGTAATATTCTGATGGATCATGACATGACTGCACACATGGGTGATTTTGGAGTAGCACATCTATTATCTGATCATAGCCTACCCACTAGTTCTCAAAATAAAATCAGTTCAATTGGGATAAAAGGAAATGTTGCCAATGTTGCTCCAGGTAACTAAGTGCATCTTTCTCCAGCCCATATATTTATTGGGGATGCTAATAAATTCATCTTTCATGTTGGAGATGAAATATCAAGATCATTCCTAGTTTTTGAAGCCTAAAATCTTTGGGCAATTAACATGATTTGTTATGATTCTTTGCCACAGAGTATAGTATGGGCAGCCCATATATTTACAGGAAAGAGACCTACTGAATTGTAGTTCATTATATATATATATATATATATTCTTTAGGTGCCAAGGGAAAAAGTTTAAAAACAACACTAATATCCAGATGTTGCATGCATGGCAGTCCCAATGTGAAATAAAGGTTCCAGATTACAAAGAATGAGGCCAGAACAGTATCATTATAAGACTACCCATTATAATTCCTTCATGACATGTCATAGTAGTCCTAGCCATGATATCCAAATGAAATATTGAATGATAAATATAGCTTAATTTACATAACAAACAAACTGATATAGCCAGATCTGTAACAATCACAGTTGAAATGAGTTTCGTTAATTTACAAAAAGGACAGCACCAGTTGACAACCAGTTGAAGATACACTGTCTGGATTACTAAACAATAAATGCCTTGCACTCTTTATTGACTAATTGTCTCTCACTTTATCTTTTAGGTGCCGTTTGTGACTTCAAAGATCTCTTTTTTCATTGTCTCTCACAGATTGTCTCTCACAGAGTCATACTTCAATACTAACAAATTTTTAATAATAATCACTCAAAAAAGAGTAAGCATGTAGTAACTACTCAACATTTCAACTGTTTGCGAAGATGGAGAGGCATCCACAGGAGATAGACTTGCAAATGCATCCACAGGAGATGCAGCTGGGAGCTCAACCAGGTTTGCCTCTGACATTGAGGTCGTTGACCTCCTCTTAGTGGCTTGCCCAGGTGGCATCTGTGTAGTCTTTATATCTAACAAATGAATTGTAAGCAACCAAAAGTAAAAATTTAAAATGCATGACAATTTATGAAATTATAAGATAACCTAATACTGTAATATTCGAACCACATTACAAGTCAAGAAATTATCAACAAAAAAATTCATTACAATTTGAATCATCACTAAACATGTCTTCAATTTTTTTATCAACAAACAAAATAAGATTATATATAATGAACACAAATACATCAGGAGCATAGCTATTAAAACCAAACAAACTTGGCGCCAATGAGCTAGCCCAAACATCCGCTAGTAATATAACCGTTGGTGAGAAACCAACAAGAAGAGAAAAAAAACATATTCAAAACAGATTCAACATTACACCAGCAGCAGCCACATTTCAGCATTACACCAGCAGATTCAAAACAGATTCAGCAGATTCAGATTAATACACAGATTCAGACAGATTCAGACAGATTCAGCAGCATCACCAAACAGAAGAGAAAAAAAAAACATAGAGCACTTCAGCAGCAGCACACAGAGGAGACAGTAGAACAAACACAGCTTCAAACAGATTCAGACAGATTCCGATGTTTCCAAATGGACCACAATGAAGCAATAGGTACAACATTCCAGACTTGTTGTAACTAAACATGTCTTCATTAACAAGTGCATGCCATTACAATCAAGAGCATTACAATGAAAATGACTTGATAATGCAAAAAATAAAGGATATTACAATCAAGGCTCTATATCATCATCTGTATCCGAGTTACTATGACTATGAAATTCATCTTCATCATCAGTAGGATCATTTGAATGTTGATCATTATCATCACAGATAAAATCATCTCTGTTTGGACCCTCTACATGTACACTTGTACTAGATTGCAGAACCACTTGACTTGGAATAATATCAGGTGCAATATCAGTCCTACGTAAAGTGTTGCTAATGGAATCTGCAATGCTGATTTGGACAATTTCAGTGGTCTCGTCCTGCTGGAACACATCATTCGGAATAGGCAATTCATTATCATCGGGATCTACATCCTCAAGCTCCGGCACATTCCATATTCCTCGACGTTGAAATCGCTCTACGACTTTCCAATGTTCACCTAATTTGGTATCATTGACATAAAAAACTTGTTGCACCTGACTTGGCAAGACAAATGGGTCATTTTGATACCAACGGCTTCTTACATCAATGGTTGTCAAATGTGTTTCAGTGCGAAATGTTCTGTTGCTACCAGTGTTAAACCATTCGCATTGAAACAACACAACTCGATGTCCGAACATGTATGTCATTTCCCAAACTTTATTCAACTGACCATAGAAATCAATTGACATACCATGATGATCCCCTTGAACAACCAACCCACTATTTTGACTTTTACGACGGTTGTCTCGCTCTTTCGCGTGGAATCAAATGCCATTACAAATACGACCTGAATAAATATTCACTATTGGACTAGGACCATTAGCTAATGACCACAACTCATCAGTTGCTTCCGATGATCCTTCAGCTCGTAATTGATTTATCTACATGAACATGTGACAAGGATGCATGATGTTAATATCAATCTACGAACAGTGAATTATGTTTATGATGAGAGGTTACATATTATCTATGTATCTTATATATTACCCGCTCTTTGAACCACCTAGGAAATTCTTCTTGTTGTTGTCTTGTAATGTCATGTACATTTGCATTTTGTAACTGATTCTTGTGTTCTCTACTTGAAAAATCAAATGTGAATAATTAGTACTTGAGTGTGATCATAATGAAAAGCATTTTCCATAGACTTAACTAAATGAGAACATACTCTCGATATTCATCAATTTCAGGACTATTATACAAGATAAACCAATGAGCCACTTTTCTTTCATTCTCAGACACGTCAACTGCCCTTTGAGTTAGCCCAAAAGTACGGACTTTTTGTGAAAAAAACTGAATGCCCTGAGCCAACATCACCACCATCTTCATTTCTTTCCTCTCTGTTAAATACGGTTTCAATCCCACCAAGATACATAGAGCAAAAAGTTAGGCATTCTTTGACAATGTAAGCTTCTGCAATTGAACCTTCTGGGTGAGCTCGATTTGCTACATACCCTTTCAAAATCCCGAGTAATCTTCAACAAATAATATGAAATTATTATATAAACCATATATATGGGTATACTATAATATTAAAAAAAATATAATTTCACATCAAATAGCATAAAAATACCTTTCGATAGGGTACATCCATCGATATTGCACTGGCCCTCCAAGAATGGCTTCGCGAGGCAAGTGAATAGCTAAGTGAACCATCACGGTGGAAAATTTTTTTCTAGCTTGCAAAGTATGAGTACTATGCTCTCTTGTAATTTTTCCAAATCATTCACCCTCACTGTTTTTGAACATAACTGTTGAAAGTAATTTCCCAACTCAAACAATGCAATAGAAATGTCCTTGTTAAGATACCCACGCATTCCAATAGGAAGAAGTCGTTGTATAAGGACATGGCAATCATGGCTTTTCAAACCGGATAACTTGCCGCCCTTTGTGCTCACACACATAGAGATGTTCGCTGCATACCCATCAGGATACCTAATCGATTTTAAGAACTCGCAAAAACCTTGTCTTTCCTTTAGGGACAATGTGAACAATGCAATGGGCTTTTCAAAGGACCCATCCGCGTGCCTCTTTAAGTGCAAATCCTTCCTAATTTTCATATCCTCTAAATCCATGCGTGCTTTTTCCGTATCCTTGTTCTTCCCATCGATGCTCAACAAAGTCCCAATTAAATTATCACATATGTTCTTCTCTATGTGCATGACATCGAGGTTATGTCGTAGCTTGAGTGTCTTCCAGTAAGGCAATTCGAAAAATATGCTTTTCTTTGTCCAATTCAGGACGGTATTTTCATCCCTTTTTCGTTTTTGGTTGCTTGGATGCTTCCCAAATGGTTTAAATGTTCCTGAATCCAATTGATTTAAAATTTGTTCCCCTGACAACTCCGAAGGTCTTGCTCGATCATCTGCCTTACCATTAAACAGCTTACTTCTTCGCCAAGGATGGTCTTCAGGTAAGTATCGACGAGCACCAGAGTATCCTATCTTACTTCTTAACCGTTGTGATGCTGCATTCTCATTACAATTGGGACAAGCCAAATATCCTTTTGTATTCCACCCTGACAAGTTACCATATGCAGGGAAGTCATTAATAGTCCACATAACAGTTGCATGCATTCGGAAACTTGCCCCAGTTGAGGCATCATAAGTAACTACACCATCTTCCCATAACTCCTTCAACTCGTCAATTAATGGCCTCAAGTAAACATCAATATCTCTCCCGGGTGCTTGCGGTCCAGGAATAAGCAATGACATCATGAAAAATGGTTGCTTCATACACTTCCACGGTGGTAGGTTATAAGGCATAACTACCACAGGCCACATACTATATGAGTTGCTCAATTTTCCAAAAGGGTTGAAACCATCGGTGGCCAACCCTAACCTCACATTACATGGTTCTTGGGCAAACACAACATGTTGCCTATCAAAATCCTTCCACGCCTCACCATCGGCTGGATGCCTTAAGATGCCATCATCAACACGTTTTTCTTTATGCCATCGCATATCTCCAGCTGTTTTCTCGACATGTATAATCTTTGCAACCTTGGTGTCAACGGAAAATATCTCAAAATTTTATGAGGTATCTTCTTACCTTTGCCATCATTCATTTTGTATCTAGGCTCCTTACAAATCGAACAATTTTCTAAATTTGCATTTTCCTTCCAAAAAAGAGCACAATCATACTTACATGCATGAATAGGCACATATCCTAAACCCAAATCACGTAAAAATTTCTTCGCTTCATAAAGGGTCCATGGAACCTTTTGATCACTTTCTGGTAAAAGGTCTTTCAATACGCCTAACAACATGTCAAAAGACTTATTGCTCCACTTGTTTAAAACTTTTATATGAAGCATCTTAACGACAAATGATAACAAAGTAAACTTCTGACAGCCAAGGTATAATGGACGACGAGCATCCTCTAACAATTTATCAAAGTTTCGTCCATCTTCTCTTTGCTCATTATCATTCTGCTCACCCTCTTCATCATCATCAAAAATATGCGCCATGTGACAGTCATCTAACATATCATACAATTCATCTTCAACGTGAAGGCATTCATTGGTTGTCCCTTCATCACCAACACCTTCAATGTCATTGTCATTATTCCACACACGAGGTTGATTGACAGAAACAGTTACCCCATGGTGCACCCAAGTCTTGTATGAAAGTGATATCCCTTTTCGGATCA